CCTCCCGCCCGAGGACCCTCATGGCGAGAACGGGGGTTCTTGGGGCGCCCAGCCGCGCGGCGAAGAGAGGAAAGGTGAGCCCCGGAGTGTGGGAAAGGGTGAGGCTGGGTGAAGCGACTCCGGGTAACAGCCGGTTTCTCGAAGGCGCACAGCCCTTTGTGTCACGGAGATGTTTCGGCCCGGTTCTGGCGTGGGCTTCGTTACTCCCGAGGCTTCACCGCCATCCAGGAAAGGGTGCTGAGCTCTCCACGTACGTCTTTGTCGGGCTCCTCTGCTTGCTTGAAGGGAGGCCGAAGGAGCCTCGCGGGATGTGCCTTTGTAGTCGGCAGTGCTGCACTCACTTTCCACCATACCAGAAGTCGTGGACGAACCAAGTCCGCGCATTCGTCGCGCCTTTATGCACAAAGCGTGTCAGTGCTCGTGACAGTTCCTGCCGCGCTCCGGGGTGAGGGAGGCCTCTGCAGACCGCGCTCCGGCCGGCGGCCCGGTGGCGTGGGCGAGAGCCCCCGCGGACCCTCGGCGTCACTCCCTGGCGCTTACCGCAGATTTCGCGTGTGTTCGTTTGGCCCGTCCCCTCTGCAGAGGGCCCGTGCGTGTTCCCCCTGTGTTTGCTGTGAAGACCGGAGGCTGAAAATGTCTGTGTGAGAGCCCCCGAACAGCACTAAGGCTCCCAGACCGCAGGCTGACGTCAGGTAGCAGATATGCCCGACTCAGTTACTGAAAATCCTGTGAAACTCCAGAAGACATCTTATCTGGTCTTTTGCCCATAATGGAGATAGACCTCTCTCTCAGAACTTCAGAGAATTCCTTGCAAAGTTTATTTTACACAACTCAGAGGCAACATTTACCTCTTCGTTTTTTTTTCTTAAAGAGATGGGGTCTCGCTTTGTTGCTTAGGTGGGCCTTGAACTCCTGGGGTCAAGCGGTCTTCCTGTCTCAGCCTCTGAGTGGTCGGGTCTACAAGCACATGCCGCCCTGCCTGGCTTTTTGTCTACATGTTCACTCCAGTGGATGAGGTAAAAGTCGAGGTAATGAGATGGCCTGCGTACGTTTGGCCTACCAGTCAAGTCAGCGAGTGGATAGATTTTTTTTTTTGAGTTGGAGTCTCCCTCTGTCGCCCAGACTGGAGCGCCGTGGCCGCTCCCGGCCACCGCAGCCTCCACCCGCTGGGCTCCGGCGACCCTTCCGCCTCAGCCTTCCGAGTAGCTGGAACTACAGGCGCACGCTACCACGCCCGGCTAATTTTTGCTTTATTGTAAAGAGTATGTTCTGGTAGCTGAATTGAAGGTGAAAATGTCCTGGACAGAGGAGGAGCTGGCAGGAGGGCAGGTAAGGGCCAGGTGTGACACACAGAACAATGGTAAGGAGTGTTAAGTCAGAAAAATTAGAAACAGAGTTTGTGAGCACAAAGCTTACTGTCTTATGTTATTAACAGTTAAATTTTCAGTTTGTCTCTGAGAATTTATTTTGTGGCATTCAATAAAGCAATATGGGAACCCTCATTTCATCACTTGCCGTCCTTAAGTTTCCATAGAAACGCGATGAGAACGCCAAATATCAAGTACAGACACATTGAAAGTTCGCTTTTAATATCTTTGCTTCAGACATTTTTATATCAGTTTCCCTGGAAACTGAGAAATTCCTACATAGATGTAAAACATTTTAGCCTTTCTTCAATGAAGAAGTCACTTTCTTTGGTGACTTAGACGAAGATCATACCTCAGCGATGCTCTGCTTTGTTCTGAAACATTTCAGAAGGATATAATCGCGTCAAGCTATTTCAAAGAGAGATGCCTTCCTAAGAACCTAGTGTCGATTTCAGACGGATTCAAAAGTATCTTCCACACCTTGCCCTTATTTGGCAGTGTGTCTAATGTAACTGACAGTAGCGTCAGTAACACAAAGTGAGGTACCAAATGCTCATCATCCAGCTTCATTATTGTTCACCAGCTTTTCTTTTCTTTTCTTTTCTTTTTTTATGGAATCGGAATCTCCCTCTGTCACCCAGACTGGAGTGCAGTGGCTACTCCCGGCCACCGCAGCCTCGACCTCCTGGCTCCGGCGATCCTTCCGCCTCAGCCTTCCAAGTAGCTGGAACTGCAGGTGCGTGCTACCACGCCTGGCTAATTTTTTGATTTATTGTAGAGATGAGGTCTCGCCTGCCCAGGCGGGTCTCGAATCAGCTTTTCATGCAGACTTTTTTTTTTTTTTTAAAGACAGGATCTCGCGCTGTCACCCAAGCTGGAGTGCAGTAGCATGATCATGACTCACCGCAGCCTCAAACTCCTGGGCTCAAGTGAGCCTCCCAAGTAGCTGGGACTACAGGCTGCCGTGTCTGGTCATGTAGTCTTTTATGTTCTGGTCTTAGGAGCTCTGCTGATTTGCTGGCTAAAGTTCTCTCTCAAGTGAGCCCTTCCTTCACGTCTCCCTAGAGATGAGGGTAGGGAAAGAATTGGCAATATGATGTGGAAAAACCTCTGAATAACAGATCTTTCCTTTTTCCAGGCGCTATTTTGCGTGCCCTCTTTTTTTTCTTGATAACAGTATCAAGTGTTCAATGTAAAAGATTTAGAAAATACAGAAACATCCTTCATTGTACTCAGAATACCCAGAGCTAACTTTTATTATTTTGGCATTAATTCTTTGTGATTTTCTGTATGCGTATGAATGTAACACTGTATATACAAAAATGAGATCGTCCTGTGTGTGCTGCTTTGTGCCTTTTACTTAAGGCAGTGAAGTAATGATGTAAGTTCCCGAGTCTTTCCTGTCAATGCCCCCGCCCTACCTCCTGCCTATAATAGCTGCTTAGTGCGCCGTCGATTGAGTGGAGTGCCCTTTATTTTCCTACCCTTCATAGTAAAATGATGCACACTTGATTCTGCTGGCTGGTGTGTTGTACCTCCCAATAGGACCCAGATGGTGAACTTTGTCTTACGACGTTAAATCCATGGGATGAGTCATTTTGTAGTCAAGGTATTTTAGCATTAAATGTTCTTATGCCAAGTTGAAGGTACCATTGACCTTCCACTGGACCTTAGAATTCCTCATTTAGGTTTTGTGGTTCTTGGCAGCCTGTCTTATGTCTTTAATCCTGAATAACTGCCACATTAGGAGATCTGATGCTGTCTTAGATGACAAATCAAGAGACAGCATTAGAAGAAATCTTGGGAGAAGCGTGACGAGTTTTGAGTACACTGAAGCATGTTCACTGAGCACCTTTGGGTGGCCAGGCAGTGTTCCAGATGTCAGGCAGCTGACGTACAAAACAGCCCCATCCCCATTTGCACCCTTGAGCATTCTAGAGGAGCGAGGGCAGGGAGGCAAAATAGGGCAGGGGGTTGGGGAGGAGGGCTGTTCCACAGGGGTGGAGTGTGACGGCTGGCTGCTCTCCTAAGTGAAGCATGAGCGGTCCCAGAAGTGAGACGGAGCCTTGCGAGGGCAGGGGGTGGAGGGAAGGGGCTTCCAGGCAGAGGGGTGGCTCCTTTCTTGGTTTAGGCTAGGGACAGTGGCTGCAGGGGGACAGAGACGCCAGGAGGAGCATGGTGGGCTAAGGCTCGTGTGCATCGTGGGCCTTGGCGAAGAATGTGGGAAACCACTGGAGGATTGCAGCCTGGGGAGTCATGTGAATTCTTTAAGAAAAAGCTCCAGCTAGCTGCTGTGTGAGAGTATGCTGCAGCGCAGGTAAGGGAGGAGGCTGGTGTCATTAGGTAAGAGCAGGTAAGTGAACAAAATCCAGTACTGAGAGTAGGCCGACCTGGAGGCACTAAGTGACTCTAGGAGGAGGTGACAAAGTGACGAGTCAGCCCGTCTCGGGACAAGAAGTGCAGGCGAGCCTCGAACATACGTTTTCACACCTAAGAGGAAGGCAAAGAAAACTACTGTGTTTCTCTCCTACTGGGAGAAAACCCAGAACCTTGACAGTACATTCTTTGGTGTGGCTGTGGAGAAAGTTGCCTTCGTGTGTTGCTGGGGGAGGTGCAGGGTGGTTTGACTCCCTGAAAGGAAACTTGACGGGGTCTCACAGCTTGCACGTGCGTTTTATCCAGAAATCCCACTTGGAAGAATTGATCCTGAGGATATACTCCATAAACACGAAACATCATACAGGCAGAGTTTTTGTTGCATTGTTTTCAGTAGTTACATGTTGGAAATAACTCAAGTTTCAGGTAAGGCACTGGTAAGGTAAGCTGGTCCACCCACACAGAGGAGAACTGTGGAGCTATCAAAGAGAATGGGATCTCTTCTGCAGTGGAGCATCCCCAGGATGCATTTCATGGAAAAAAACGGAGAACATGCAGTAAGCTGTGTGAAAGGAAGCAGGGAAAATCATGCGTAGTTGCTTGCTTTTGTTACTTTTGAAAAAACAACACCTGGGACTTCTCAACCAGGGTGTGTGACTGTTTTCCCCGTAACTTCAGTGTGTAGCCTAAGTGCATGTTTGCTCAAGACATTATGTAGGTGTGAGGTTTCCACCAGATGCTCAATGTTCTTTTTCTTTGGAGTTAATCAGCAAGGGCTGTGGCTTGGGATTTCTTGTGCATTGTGTAGCCTGTGACATCCTCTTGCATTCACTTGATCCTCACACAGTACTGAGTAAGGTGGTTCAGGAATTAGACTTGTTTTACACATGAGAAGACAGGTTTTGAGCAGTATGCATGGAGTTCTCCAAAGTTTTGAGAAATGAGACCTGATAGATCAAGAAGGTAAGTTCCAGGTATATGGCATGTAGGATTGGAATTTGTAGAGTGACTCATATGGGCTATTTTGAATACTACCTTCTCACCCTTTTTTTTTTTTTTTTTTAGTGTATTGAAGTTAAGCTTTAGGGTTAAAACAGCAACACTGGATAATGAGAAATGACAGAGGTACTTGTAACCCAGAAATGTGTTTAAAGTCTAAGAAATGGAGTTAAACACTAAAGAAATACAGAAGGGAAGGAAGGTAACCTACAGCACGTGAAAGGTCCCAGCTCAGTCAGCCTCCAAGACAGACCCGGATGCAAAGATGCAGAGCAGCTTAGGTGAGAGGAGGACGACGCAGCAGCTAGGACTGCCAGAGCCGGGAGGGAAAGTGCAGACTCGATAAAGCCGCCAGATGAGAGGCTGGAAATGTGTGTGCTAGTGCCGTGTGCAGTGTAGGGAAGGTCAGAAGCCACAGCGAGCCCTGCGGCCGGCCAGAGACTGCAGGCACCTTCTGTTTACACAGCATGTGTTGAAATCATTCTCTTGCCGCTTCTGTCAGGTAATTTCTTGGTCACTGTCCTCTCCCGTCAGTATTTTGGCAGGAGAAATCACTTGTTGACTGTTTACGGTTAGCCTTGAAGAATGCTTCTCACGCCGAGTTGCGTGTGTCTACTGTACTTCGCTAACATCTGTGTGGTTAAGAGGGAGTGCCAGCCGGGCTCAGTGGCTCAGCCTGTAATCACGCGCCTTTGGGAGGCTGAGGTGAGTGGATGGCCTGAGCCCGCGGGTTCAAGACCCGCCTGGGCAACTTGGTGAGACCTCATCTCTACAATAAATCAAAAAATTAGCCGGGTGTGGTAGCGCACGCCTGTAGTTCCGGCTACTCGGAAGGCTGAGGCGGAAGGATCGCCGGAGTCCAGCAGGTCGAGGCTGCGGTGGCCGGGAGCGGCCACTGCACTCCAGCCTGGGCGACAGAGTGAGACTCCAACTCAAAAAAAAAAGAGGGTCGCTGCAGCTGGTAGGCTGCAGGGAAAGCGGGTTCAGTGTCTCTGGGCCTTGCAGGTTGCTGCCTCTGAGGGGATGTTTATGTTAAGACCCGAACTTTCCTTAAAGTTAGACTGTTGCTCCATCATCCTGTCACACTGTCCAATTAAGTTGCAGTTTAAATGAATAATACAAAAGCTGTGGGTCTTGAAATACAGTTTTAGTAATACCCGTAATCATGGGATCAAAACTATTTCTCCTAGTTTCAAACATTCTTAGGAGTCTTTTGAAAAAATTTACTTGAAAGGATTTTGGAAAGTACAAAAACAATAAACAAAATACATTCTTAGGTTTTTAAAAACCTAACTTTGAAGGCATTTGAATAATTCACAGATAAGACGCACCGTCATTCGTGTGGTTTTTTTCTTCCAGCCATGTCTCCCAATTGCAGCATGTGTGTCGCGGGGGCCTGGTGCTCGACGAGCAGCTGGAAGTCCGGCCTGGGTGAGAGTGAACGCAGAGGAGGGGCGTTTGTCCCAGTCGTCTTAGGCTCTTGGAAAAGAGTTCATGGGGAGTGCAGAAATGCTAGGTGTCTTTGCCAGCTGTCCGACGGCATAAACGTCCATTCTGTGACAGAGCAGCACGTGGTAATTGTCATTAGCAGAAGGTGCACGTTGTACAGAAGATTATGGTAGGCTGTCGACAGAAAATCTACATCTTCTGAAGACGTCATGCAAATGATCAGTATTAAGGTCTTAGCAAATACAATACATGCAGTACGAGGGCGGACCCCAAAGCCTGCAATTTATTTGTGAAAAATTGTGTATTCTTACATGTTTAAACTTCAGTCACCTTCAAAGTCCCCCCCATTTGATGCAGTGTAACTGTTGGGACGCTTTTTCCACTGCTCAGAACAGCTTTTGAACACATCAGGTTTGTTTTTTGTTTTTGAGTTGGAGTCTCACTCTGCCGCCCAGACTGGAGTGCAGTGGCCGCTCCTGGCCACCGCAGCCTCGACCTGC